AAAGTTATGAAAAGTTTGCTTTATACTTGTGCCCTGACATGAACTATATACAACATATTGAATTACTACAGAAAGCTACAGAAGATATCAAAGCGATCATCGGATTTATAAGTCAATTGAAAAATGAGATAGTTACTAACAAAACTATAAAACCAATGCGTTTAAATCCCAAGGCAGACATCAACGATGCAGAGGAATGGAATAAATATCTAGGGCATAGAACAGCTTTAGAAGGTGAAATACCTACATGGTTCAATACAATATGGTTATACTGCGAAACCTACATGTACCGTGTATTAGCTCAAGAAATTGGTTTGACGTAAGCTTTGATGTATTAAACTTTACAAAAATTTATATAGAACGAGCTGAAATATACGTGCATCTATCTTTTCACAAAATTAGGGATACCTTGCATAGTTATGACCCATTTGAGCAACAGAAACAAGCTGAGTTTATCAACTCCTATGAATCTATAGCTGTTCTTGCTTCGTATGTAAAAATATAGTGTGCAACGAGGAATATAATGTAGCTAATTCACCAAATGATTTTCTGAAATTATTGAAATGTTGCCTATGGGGTAATAGGTAATACTCCCATCTATATTTTTAACGTGCATCTATCTTTTGTACATTACAATGCATTATATTTACAGGTATGATTTATCTGCAACTGCAGGAGATCCTTATAGTCAAACAGGTGATCCACTCGAAACGGTGGAATCTTTAAACGAATATATATTAGTAAACGATTGGAAATTTATATGGTCCCTTGTAAATGAAAAAGAAATGATAATGATAATATTCATATAGTACTTGATAATGCAGGCTATGAACTTTTTACTGATCTATGTTTAGCAGCATTTTTGGTTACCATTGTACCTACAACTCGGATAATATTTCATCTAAAATTATATCCGTGGTACTTGAGTGATGCTACTATTCATGATTTTCTTTGGATATTAGATCACATGAGTAATCTAACCAATTATCCAGATATACAATTACTGGGCAAAACGTTCGAGAATTTATTGGATAAAGAAATTTGGTCTATCGAGGTATTATTTAATTTAATATCTTTTATATGAAATAATTCTGATTATTACTTAATATTATGTCAAATGTAATTTATATTTTCTTTGCCAAATAGGAAGAGTCTTATTGGACGGGACCATATGATTTTACACAAATGAAAGAAAAAGATAAAGAGCTGTATACTCAATTTTGCAATGCTAAATTAGTAATCTTTAAGGGTGATCTGAATTATAGAAAACTCTTAGGTGATATTAATTTCGAATACCATAACAATTTTAAAAATGCATTAGGAGATTTTCTACCTACAAATATTTTGTGTTTACGCACATTGAAATCCGATATTTGTGTTGGACTACCAAATCATATGACTCAATTCTTTCAACAAAATATAGATAAAATGACAACTGGGATGTATGGTCTCATTCAAGCAGCTGCTTGCAAAAAAATTAAAACATTAAATTTTTCTATGAAAAATCTTTGAATTGCAATCATAATTACTTACGTTTATCATTGTACAAATATGTAAAATTACATTGCTGTACAAATACAGTTATTTATACATATACAAATTCATAATAATAATATGTATATGTGTAAAACATATATAAAAAAATTTTATTTTTTATATATCTATTTATTTTTTCATGTCCCATCATATATTATTTAATTATTTTATCCATTATAATCTATATACATATAAATTTTTTTTCATAATGTGTAAATAAATCAATACTTACAATTATTTTTTTATTTTATATAAAATTTTTTATTTATACTTTTGTAAAACTTTATATATATATATATATATATATATATATATATATATGTATATGTATATGTTATATATGTGTGTGTGTGTGTATATATATATATATATAAAATATACATATATAATTATTTTTGTGTGAGTTAATTATGACATTCAATTATTAAAACAAATATTGTTAATTAATTTGAATTATACTTAAGTGATAAAAAAGAAAGACGATAAGGATAATCCTTTAAAAAGTACTTGATAAGTTGTTACATTTTAATGATATATATGTATTTTTTTACAAGTCTGTACAATAAATAAAATGGAATCGTAATATTAAGATCTACTGTTGTTTCGCCTTCCTTATAATTACATGATACATACTTGGTTGTTTAATATTCATAAAATTTTGGTATATCTTCTATTGTTGATTGCCTTATATAGTAAGTTACGCTTTTATACATCGATTGTTACACAATTTAAAATAATGTTCCTACTTCACATCAATTATTAAAAAGTATAAATAATACTTTTTATATTTTAATAAATTATACTTTTTTCTGTTTATTTGTAAACATTACGCATACAAGTTAAAAAAAGAAATGTAACCAAAGAAATGTGGTAATAAATGTTGATAATTTTCTTTGTTTATTGAACTGCAATTGGTGGTATGTTATATACGTATGAGCAGATAAAATTATCATTCAAGCTCCGGTTAGAATATAAATGTTAGTTATATAAAATATTCAAATATATAAAATTAATTATTTTATCTTTTAATTTAAATGATTTGACATTTGATGTTTTATGTAATGAAATATATTTTGAAATGTAATAAAGCATTATTATACAAAATTGTAACTAAACTTTAAATTTTAACTTTAATTTGCAGATTGTAATATAATTATATCAAATATATCTGATTTATAATATTCGTATAGCCATACAATGTGATTAGTAGGCTAAACTTTTAAATTGATAATTAGATATTTTCAAGGATTTATCATATAGTAGAAGTTTTGATTTTTAAGTTTCTCTATGACAAATGTTCAAATATAAAGATATGTTCTCTTAATTACAAAACTTTAAAAGCGAATAATGTAACATATATGATTATAGTTCAGAATTTGAACAAAATTTTCAGCAGATTTTGCATATAATATCCGTTGTAAATATTTATTTTGTCATTATATACATTAACATTGTATATTTTGTTCCATAATCAAGCACAATTTGTGTAATTGTAGTCGATTCTTCAGTATCATTAAAGAGACAAATGTTTTACCAAGTGGCAATAGAGTTCTCTCATTAGATTTTAAGATAAAATATAATAAGAAATCTATATATATTAGTATTCATACAAGACTTTTAATAAAGTTTTAGGTACTTGCAAATATATTTGTTAAGTTATAGTAAAGGCTACAATATTAAAAATAATTATAATTATTATAATAATAAATGAAATAATCGTAATAATAGCAATTATAATATATTTTATTCATGTTAATTACTTAAATGCATTATAGTTTAACTACAGTTCTTATAAGTAAATCTAATTATAATTATTATATAATTATTATAAGTAAATATGATTTGTATATGCTGACATGTGCTTGTCCAGCAAGCTTTCAGATAAAATAACATTCTATTAATATGAAATACTGAATAATCTCTTCGCTATATTTGCAAATAAAAATTTATAAAAGATATATATATGTATGTATTACTTTCAAGTACAAGTGACAAAAAATAATTATTATTACAATATTGTTGAAATTTAAGAGTAGTAAAAATTGGATTTTGAATTTTACAGTTACATTGGTATGTATAAAATGACAATTAAATTTACTATTATAATTTATTAAATAAATATTAAGTTACTTGATATTTCATATTATTATAATTTAACTCTCATATCAACTTAATATGCATTATACAAAGATCATTTGAAAAGTAAACGTTGATCAAGCCATAAAGAAAATAATATTCGAGACAGAATTAGAAATTAATTCTTTCTTTCTATCTTTCCTAGAAGAAGTAAAGAATAAAATTTCATAAAAATTTAATTTTTTTTTTGTAAAGTACATCACATTCTTTACAAAAAGATTATCTTATAGCCGATCGATATCTATCTCAATACTATTCATGTTCTTATCTATACATTTTACATGCATTTCTACATAATTAGTAATTCTCAAGAAAGTACATGAGTGAAATATTTGAATTTATAATAAATTTGTTCACAGATAACTATACAAGCTTTTGCGATATATTTCATGCTGTTCTTACAATATACATACATATGTTTTATCCAACAATTGAATTTAATATTCAATAACAGATTATACACATTAAAATTTATTGACATACTTTTTCAAAATATTTCGTATAATGTCAAGTAATTATTTACAAAAATATGTTTGGAGACAAACATTAGAATAATTCAGATAACACTTTCAAAATATTCTTAGTGTAAACTATGTCTCATCATTATTTATTCTAAATGATGACAAATATTTAAAAAATGCTCCAAATAAATTACCAAAAACGTCTGTATCTGTAAAAAGTGAGGAAATTTGGCCCCGATACCCGACACTCATCTGGCCCATTAAACATCTTAATTGTTTTATAAAAGATATTAAAAAATTACGAAAGGATGATCTTGTCATTATCTTTAATGAAAGCAACTTGTAAATTTTATATGGACTAATTTATAGGTTTAACTATTAGATTACAATGAAATTATTATTTATTTAACACTAGAAGTACCAAACGGACATATATCTAATTTTTACTTTTTCAAATCAATATCTTTTTTTATATTAACGGTAAAGAAAGCTTTTTCATCAATTGTTCTCTTTATTTCTGAATAAATTTTAAAATATTAAAGAAAATTTTGAGATCATTTAATATAAAAAAAATATTAGTTAATAATAAGAAACGGTAAAAAACAAATCGCTTGCGTCTTCTAGTATTGAGAAATTTTAAAAATCATTAGTAATCAATAATAATAAATAATTCATTGTTTTAAATCTGAGTACTTTACTGCCACATGGTATAATATGATCAGAACAATCTTTTTATATATCAGAAGATATTGCAACAATATAATAATCTATATGAAAAAGTTTAGATAGGAATAATTGTGCTAAGAATTTCTTACAAAATTGATAATAATTAAATGATTAGCAGGAATGTGGCATTTTGTTTAATGTTGCATAAAAGTCAGCCGTATGTGAAATCATATTTTATTCATATCTATTAATATTATTGATATAACGAAGAAAAGAATAAATGGTTTTAAGAGAAGATTTTGTCTAAAATAATTTCTTGGAGAAGAATTTAAAATGTATGTTGGATTAATTAAACTTAAATTTTATATAAAGAAACGCGATTTAATCTAAACGACTCGCAGATATAATGCGAAATTCTATATAAACTAAGAGGCACGTATATATACTATGTATTAAAAATTAGGATTTAAAGGAATATATGTACATAGTCGTTTATATTTCACAAAATTATGGCTAAGAATATATATATATATCCAAACTTCTTCAACACCCTATCGCGCCCAATATTCATTTTGAGGCAACCCGCATAGCGTCCTTTATCTTATGTTTACAAACAATTAATAAAACACAATAGTAAAAAGTAAAAAGACTGAAGAGAGTTTAATACAGTCTTTGCTAAATAAGACAATACTATTCAGCACAAAGACATACATTCAGATAACACTTTCAAAATTCTTCAATCCTTGTAATGATGTAAGTTACTCTTACCATTATTTGTTTTACATGATAGCAAATATTCACAAAATGCTTCAGATAAATCACTAAAAAATGGAAAAGCTCCTGATTCTCCTTTATTCTTTTATAATATTTAAATATGAATATCTGTTAATCAACTATCAAATATGTATTAAATAACAATAACAGAAATGAATAAAATCTCTTAAAAAGTTTTCTATGTGGTCGAATACGAGTTATTTGGTCTAAATCATCTTATAATGTAACAAGGTTTGCATTTTGTATAATTATTGCAACTAAAAAACATGCAAAATCAATAGATTCATTATTCACATTAGTGTATTATTATAGAGTAATCGTATTATACAATACATAATGATAAAATTTAATAGTAGAAAACTATTCCGCGTCCACGAAATTTAAGAGTTAGTAACTGTTACTTGGTGAATGCAGCAAATACAGCCCAAAGTACCGGGTTCGCGTTACATTTATAAGCTTCTGCCTCAAAGTCGAGATCTAATAATGTCCGTACTCTTCGCATCGCTACTTCATAATCATCATCCGATAATGGTGCAAATGCATTTTCTAGTACATCAGCTGCATGAGCTAAAATGACTAATGCCAATGTTCGTCTATCCATGCGAGCAGCATCATTCACCCAACGACCTAACACAGCTTCTTGGATCTGGAAGACAGAAAATAACACATGTGCTATCATTCTATTCATAGATTACATAACAATTTAATACAGATAGTCTTTCTTGCAAAGTAAAGTATGTTTTTTTATTTCTCATTGTCTTTCATTTTTTTTTTGTAAAAATCTTATTCTACAAATATTTCATATTTCTCTATATGTTAGCATAGCATTAATAAAAATATAGAAAGTAATTTAATGCTATTAAGTCTGATTTAATCTAAATTAAAAACTTTTTATATACAAGTCTTTTCTTTTTTATATTGAAAACAGAAATATATAAAGAATTATATGTACATTATATACATACAAACTACATATATAAATATTTTCTTGAAAGATATATTACTTTAGTATAGCATGTGTATATATATATATATATATATATATATATAATAAAATTAGTAAAAAAACAGTACAAAAAGATAATCGATAATTAAAAATTAATATATATATAAATTATACATATATAAAAATTTTATTAAAAAATTTAATTTTTATCTTTTCCATTTCCGCACACTTTCTAATTAATGCAAGCATTAAAACATAAAGATAAGATATTACTTCCGTAGATAATAATACGTTGTAACATCTAACATGTACAGAGTACTTTTGAAATAAATCTCTAAATGTGTGTGTTGAAATGTTCAAATTAATTTGTAGATGAAAGATAAATTAACCATCACAAGTCTTTCTTTTCATTTTTACAAATATTATTTATATAGAGCGTGATAAGAACATCAACATTTTTTTTTAATGATAATATTTGTGAGTCAGCTTGTGAGCAGGATACGTGATATATTACAGCAAATACATAAATGTTTCCATTAATATGATGAATATATGAATATTGTTGCTTGCATAAAATACATGTTCTCAAAATATACAAATACAAGTGTTTCATCCTCAAAGTAAGATTTTTTAATTTTATTTTATAGATATGTTATGATATGATACTGATGGAATAATTGAAATGTGACATAGAATCTGAAGCAGATAGATAATTTACCTTTTTCACGAGACGGCTTTTGGCAAGGTTGTCGGTAAGAGGATGAGTTGTCATATCAAATAATAAGAAATTTTGTTTTTCTGTAGTTAAGACACCTTTCTCGACAAGATTTTTCGCCAGCCGCTCTCTGACATTTTTCAATTGATATCTCAATTTTAATGGATTCCATGTTTCTCCTGTAATCACATGTAACATTTTGAGAAAGAGAAAGAGAGAAAGAAAGAAAGAAAGGGAGGAGGGAGGAGGGAGAAGGACGTCTTGTAACATATTTACAGCGATAAAAAACTAACCACTAAGATACTCTATCCAACTCTGTACAGTTTCAGGTGGATCTGTATCTTTTAAATGTTTCAAAGCCTCATCCAATAATACGTCTCCTGTAGGTGCATCATTTTTTAGAAGAAGCTTTCTGGCCAGCAAGCTCTTTTTACGCATGCCAGCTTTCTCTAGTTCTACTCTGCCCCGAAAGGCAAGTTCCGCTAAGATACATCCTCTCAATCCAGAACTTATACAATCGTTCCAGAAGGATGTATACCCCTATGAAAAAGAGAACAAGGTCAATAAAAGCATCAAAGAGAATGCTTCGAATGTCAATCATTCTATGGATTCACACAGAGAATAAGACTTTTAGGGTATAAATGAACCTCTTTATCCTTGAGACCGAGCAGAAGGACCTCCTCCATGAGGGTCAGTCGCGTCTCTTTGTCAGAATCGTCGTCGACGGTGGGATTGCAGTTGAAATCCTTCTGGCACGAACAATCCATGCCCGGGCTCTGGCCGGACGACTTGTCGTTGTGGCCGACGAGATCCGTATTCGAGCCATCCTGGCCGTGACCGCTGCCGCCGCTGTTCACCACGCGTCGTCGCTGCACCAGCCCGTCACCGCGATTCATCATGCGGCGCAGATATCACCACCAACTTGACAGCACGTCCGCGCGTGTCGTGACGGAGACGAAGCCGATGGAGACGGAGACGAGCAGGATCGCGCGATCACCGATCGGACGTTATTGACGCTCGGTCGTCTCGGGCGAGACGCGGTGCGCTCGACACGATCCCGGTGTCGGCTTATTAGAGAGAGCCGGAGCGGGCGTCCATCGCGCGATAAACACTGCGCCGTTCGCGTTTACCCGAAAGCGACATGCCTCATCCAAGATGGCCAGGCTCCTCTCGCGCCGAGCACCTCCGGCTATCGCGTTCGGCTCGTGCGATTACTCGCGGCGAGAGGAGTCAACGCGGAGGACGACGCGCCGCGACGCGACGGAACGGGACGGAGCGAGACGGACGACGGGACGAGCGCCGGGTGGACGAGGATGAGTGCGGGAACGGCTTGTATCCTCGACGGTTCGGTCGAGCCTATCTTCCGTCGGGTGCGTTCAACGTGTCACCGAGCTCACCCCGAGCGACAACCTCGCGAGATAGGCGTTACCGCGAAATGCCACGTGCAAACTCGCGAGACAAATCGCGGGACATCAAACTCGCTCCAACGTGCCTCACTCGCGTGCCACGCAGATGCAGGAAAACGAAAAGAACGAATGTCCACAAACGTCTTGCTCGCACCTGTGATGCCTGTGATCGACAGTCGCGAATCAGTAAGTCCCGGTCTACAATAGGTGATTTAAGCCTTAGCCATAAGAAATTGACCAATCATAGTCGCCTATTCTTCTATTCTTTGACTATGATTCGTCCATTTCGTATGGCTTAAGGCTTAAATCACCTATTGTAGGCCGGGATTAAGGGTTGGCAAGGGAGATTACGCGACATTTCCATAAAAAAAGAGGGGATAATGTTGGTAGTAATAAAAATCCTTAGGCAACACAATTTAATTTCTGTGAATTGGTGATACTGTGTAAGTAATAATAGCATGCTTGATCTATCTATACTACTTAGTCTATGAATATGTGCATATAGTTCCCTCTTACCGCTAATCTCAATGCCCCTCTTGCCGTAACTAGCGGTATATGCTCCATATTCATTCATGGATGTGATGGTGATGGATGGTGCAGCGCATGGTATGTGCAGTTGATGGTTTATTTCCTAGTGCGTTCTTATTTGCTCATGGGATTTATCGACGATGAATTACAAGAAGTATCGCAGCTTTGCCATAATGTCGTCGATGGAAGTCATCTCGTTTCTTGTGTACAGAGTATGGTCCGCGTCGAAATAACGTGAGCAAATGTTGTTATGTTCTTATCGAAATTGTATTTTCGAAAATTGCTTTCCCATCATCGTTACTTAAGATTTGTTTACAGAAAAACATCGTTCAAACAACTTGTTGTATGTATACAGTTCCAAGAGAATTATCCTGCTTCTCCATTATTTATTGAGTTAAAGAGCAAAACACTGTCTGCAAAGTTGCTCGATGGACTAGCAGAGGTCTGCGAAAAAGAGTGCAAGCGTTTCTTGAATAAAGCACAGGTTTATATTGTGTGCGTGCGTGCATGCGTACGTGCGTGCGTGTGTACGTATGTGTGCGCGCGCGCGCGTATGATATGTGTTATGTAGATGTTGCATATAACATTTATCTTTTTCTCCTTCTTCTTCCTCCTCTTTCTTTACAAATTCTTATTTTTACAGATATTGCCGATTTTAAAGTTTGTTAGTAATTTTATCGAGGAAAATCCTCTCGTCTGCTGCTATGAAGAAATATCTACATTAAAGAAGCTTTTAGATCATAAGGACGAATTGAAACTAAAGCAAAAGAGTTCTTCTATTAATCTAACACTGCGTCAAGGTTTATATCACTTCAAAACCAAGCTTGGAGTGCCATATAATTATCCTACAAATTGTGTGACGTATGCTTAATATTTTTATGTAAAATTAATAATTATGTATTTAAAAAATTAATAACTATTATAACCATAACAAAATTTAATATGATCAATTTATATCATTTATTTGTAGTTTCAGTGATATTGATACCAATTTTCCACCATTATTCAGTCGCTTTTTAGTTGGACAAGGAAAGGAACTTGCAAGGCAATGTGTTGAACCACCGTTAAAAAGCCAAAAGCAACAAAAATTATTTACACCATTACCATCATTAAATACAGTTGTTTCTTTTCTTATAAAGTAATTTTTTGTTTTGAAATATATTAGTAACTTTCAGTTTCTTTTTAATCTTATTATATTTTACTTGCAGAAGTGTGAAAGTTTTTCCACAAGAACTTTGCCAATATTGCAAAATAACATGTTTGCCAACAAATCCAAAAGAGGTTATAACCGATGAAAATGCAGATTTTCATGCTGAAAGGCTTTATTGCGGTCATCTCTTCCACTTAAAATGTCTCATGACATATATGAAAACTTCACCATTTCATGGTAAAAATATAATTATTATTTAAATATTGAATTATGTTGTGTTAAACATTGAATTATAAAAAGATTAAAGGAAATTTTTGTTTTTTTTTTTTTTTTTTGTTTAAAGGAAGTTAAGAAATGTCCAGATTGCGGCCAATGTATCTATCATGACAAATGGGGATTGACTGATAAATTGGCAGAAGCCCGTTGGGCCCATCAACAAGCACGAGAAAGAGAGTTAGCGGAAGTTGAAGATTTTTTAACTAAATCCCGTCTCGTGCAAACTGGGTATGCATTGATGAAAAATATATGAGAAATAGGCAGCATAGGTATAAATTTTTGTATATACAAAATATTACAACTGCTATTTTGAATAAGAATGAAATGTAGATTAAGAATGAAAGAAGAAGAAACTTGATAATATTTGTTTTTTATAATAATATGTAATAGATATAATAAATCCTTGGACCGATTTTTTGAGTGCAAAGATTTAAAAGAATCAAAGATAAACAGTTTATTAATCTTAATGCATGTTACCAGGTTGTAAAATTATAATTTCAAATACCCAAAAGGAATTTGACTTGAAT